ACACACACACACACACACACACACACACACACACACACACACACACAAGCACAAGCACCCATTAGAGTTTGTATCCATGTGAAGCTATATGGCAAAAACTCTCAGCAGGCTGCTCTTCCAGAGGTTCAGGACTGATGTAACAACCAGTGCACCTCGCCTCAGAGCAGGTGGTGCTTCCTGGAGGGGTTCATGTAATCCAGACAAGCAGCCCTGAGAATCAGTGATGAGTAGGGGCATTAACAGCACTAACAGAGTAAAAACTGTTACTGTACTAAAGGTTTTGGTATTGATGGGGAAAGAATGGCACTAAACCTTTTCCAATTATCTCCATTACATTACAATTACATTATCATTCAGTTGAATTCTGATAAATGACTCTATGTAGTTGAGTTGATGAATGTCTGTGACAGTGTTAGCTATCTGATCAACAGTGTTGAGCTTCTAAGCCAGAAACACATCCAGGTGCCATGCTGAAGAGAGCTGCTGTGAAACATGAAATATGATGATGATGACCCTCTACTGTAGCCCACCATGAACCAGAGAGCAGGGAAGGCAGATCATCTCAAAGAGTGAAGCCCTGACCGACAGCTCACAGAGGCACACAGGCTTTATATCGCATGTTACACCAAATAGATCAAGTGCATATCATCAGTTGCTGAAGTGAGCTGTTCATTATTGAATCAACTTTAGTGTTTTGTTCCGATGCACCACGCCCAGTGGGCTGCTTCTAGAGACGCCGGAACATCTGGATCTGACTGAACGGCTGATTGGACGGGTAGACTGAGACATAGCACAACATTTCCTCGGTTGCCCCTGACCTTTCAAAACTCAACCAATGAGATTCTTTCCTTAATGTTGACGGACACTTTTAATAACCATCTAAACAACAGGCACGTCTAGTGAACGTAACATTACATTGATGCTGCACAGCTGACCTTGCCGCTCGTTGAGCAGCTGGTTACGGCGGTCTCCCTCAGTACCGGACCAATTTATTTTAGATTTGTGTTTCCACTGGTCATTTAGAGACAACAGGTTGACCTTCAGCTTTTGAACATTTCAGAGATCGGAGTATTTATAATATGTCAGCTTCACAGCACAGCAGCAGACTGGCAATGTCCTTGAAGACAAGGGTCACCATAGCAGCTGAGGAAAGGAAGAAATGCGCACACACACACACACACACACACACACACACACACACACACACACACACACACACACACACACACACCTTCCCTCAGCCTCTATAACAGACACTACCCATCAGTGAAAATGTGAAACAACAGCATTGAAGGTTTTTAGGAGAAAGGCTCAGAACAGTATTACTCATTAAACCACAGGTATTGCGTTTTACTGAAGAGAACATTGACACAATGAAGTAATCTGGCTGAGAGGCGACTGATCGTAATATGCATGCATTTACCTTAGTGCCTCACAAGGGCATTAATCCATCTTTTATCTCCAATGGGATTTAAATGGCTGACAGAAATGTCATCATAAACACAGAAGTGTGTCTTCCAGCCAAACAGAGCAGCAGGGCAGAGGAACAAAGGAACTGAGGAGGCAGCACTTCACTCAGGGCAGGCAGCTCATCTTGCACATTTACAGCAGACTCCATCTCACACAGCCAGAGAGAACAAGAGGGAGGTAATATTTCAATTGTCCAATTTCCCGTTACTGACCCCCCCCCCCCCCCACACACACACACACACACATATCACAATTTCCATCTTTTTCTGCTGAGGTTCTTACAGAAGCTCCGGGTGCACGTGTGAGATACAAGTGACGTGCACCAACACGTCTAAGACACATTAAGTCGGATAAAGATGCAAGGCGTCCTGGCAGTCTATTAAAAGCATGAAGTGAGAGCCCCGAGGGGTGAGGGTCCCATCTATTATTTAGGGTCTTCTGACACCAACACACTGACGGGCAAGGGCAGAGGAGCTGCTCTGCTGCAGTCTGTGTGGACACCCGTTCAAACGATGCTCAACACTGGATATGAAATATTACACATATGAAGATCATCCTGTCTTTGTTTACATTTTAAGGAATAGCGTGGGGATCTCTCACATCGTTGCCATTAATAAATACCATGAGATCACTATTAAAGCAGAGTACCAGAGTCAGACGAGTCCCATCCAGGACCACACGGTCAGCGGGTTTCTTTCTAGGGCACTAGAATAATAATCGGCGCTAACATCACAATGACGGAGCTAAAAGCTCGCGGTCACCTACCGGTCTGTATCGGAGGGCCAAGTGAAGACAAAGCAGCAGGGGATGAGCTGCGGGATGACCGCGGCACAGAAGCCCCGCGAGCCGAAGAACAAAGCGGGCTCTCCGGCAGCTTCAGCATCCTCGCTCATTACTTTCCGACTTCACCAGCATCGTTTCACACACGCAAACCGGGATTTTAACTCGCTGCTAAAAATCCACCGCTGCGACCGAGAGCGTTCAATGTGTCCGCGCACCGGCTCGTCGTTCAGATTCACCGGAGGGACCTGGGACTGTGAATGGCCGCGTGCTCCACTGAATCACAGCGATGCTGCCTTCACGTGCTCCCTGTAAACTCCCACTTCTGAGTTCTCCGTTCGCTAGTGATGCAATTCACTGACGTTGGTCGTTAATTACAGCAAAACACATCCTACAGCGGGATTTCTTTAGAGAGGTGTCTCACAAAAAATAATAATAATAAACGAAACAAATGTTGTGAAAAATATTGTAGTCTACTAAACACCTCTTCATATTCCACAGTGGGAGAAAATGTTTTGGAAAAGGAAACAGTGCATTCGGTAGCGTAACCGCAACATATAGCATTGGTTATGTAAGAGATACTAATATTGATTTGACATTTGTCTTACATCCAGATTAACAGAAGGCTACCAGTAATCACAGGTGTATTAAAGTAGATTAAAGTAAGATCACTGACTTCACAAATGTTCCACCTATATCTTCTCTGATCCTTCAGCATCAATATTGCAACATGAAATATGCCATCAACATGTCATATTATTACATAACTCTCTCTGTTATGTTATTAAGAGTTTTAGTTATTATCAAGAGTCAAAATAGCAGTAGATGCTGAGATAATGTCTGCATCTCTCCCAGATGAACTGAACACTGTGAGAACAGCTTCCTGGCTGAGGAGGTACAAAAGGACCAGGATCCCTGCCCACGAATGAGATCCAGGACAGATGTGAGCAGGTCCTTCAAAAGGATAAAATTACAAATGTTCTACCGCTCACTACATCAAGCTCAGAGGTCTGGGACTAAACACCACCTTCTGTGACTGTATCCTGAGCTTCCTGATGGGCAGACCTCAGGCTGTGTGGTTAGACACCACCACATCCTCCAGCCTGACTCTCAAGACCAGGGCCCCTCAGCCCTCTCCTGTAGGCCTACTCCCTGTTCACTTATGACTGCATGGCCCCCCACAGCTCCAACACCAGCATGAAGTCTGCTGACGGCACGATCTTCATCGGCAGTGATGAGACGACCTCCAGAGAGGAGGTCAGAGTCCTGACATCTTGGTGCCAGGAGAACAACCTCCATCTCAACATCAGCAAAGCAAAGGAGCTGATTGTGGACAACAGGAAGTGACAGAAGTGCTGTTCGGCAGACAGTCGGCAGCATCCGGTCCTGCACTACCAGGAACAGCTTCATCCCAGACTTTTGAACTCGAGTTCATCCCTTTGACATTTTCACTCTGCGTTTATTTACTTTTACAACCTGTTTACATGTATTACTTATGTTAACTTGACAAGACTAAATGTATCATTCATCACTTTGGTTGATTCGGAGCGTATTTCACCCTTTTGGCTCCATGTAGCCGACACTTTTACACTAAATACTACATGAAACTCTTCCAGGCTTGGACGTAAGAGGCACATTGCCATCATTCCCAAATAACACTGCTTTCCGAATTATTTCAAGTACAGTAAAAAATCTGGACAAATACCATAACCTCATTTGTTAACTCTTCAGGTTTTTTTGGTCTCTTTTGCACGGGATGATCCAGATGGCGCCATCAACAGGCCACCTCCAGCTCAGCTCTACCATACTTATATTACATTACATTACAGTCATTTAGCAGACGCTTTTATCCAAAGCGACTTACAATTCAGATTCTATCACATTTCTACACCGTAGGCACAACTACGGGAGCAATTTTGGGGTGTGCAATTTTTGCAACATGCGACCAGCAGAGCCGGAGCCGGGGATTTCAATCCTCTGATTGAAAGACGGCCCCGCTATCCACTTAGCCACAGTCGCCCCCATATTAGAGTAATAACAGATGATGCACAGTGTGGGATTAACCATCGGAACATCTGTCTGTACTACAACACCAGTCCATCCACTGACAACCAGAGGGTTGTGCTGTTTGAGCGACTCAAACAATATGGAAATGATGGTCACGGCATGGAAATGGACCTCAGAGAACTGCACACGTCTCATTTATATAGTGCTTTGTAAAACGAATGCATGTGCAGACAACGTTACAAGTAGACTCGTGTTCAAAGAGCTTGTGCTCGGCATGGTGTTACGGTAACTTCATAAAACAGCATTCGTTCATGTTCGCTAAGCTACATGAAGAGAAACACGAGACAGAGATCCAGACCTGTAACGCTAGCGCGAGGAGCTTCTGTTTCTCGATGGTTCCTCGTGCTAGACGCACTCTGGTCATATTGTCTGGAGGCAGCTTACAGTCCAGCAGCACTAACCTCGACTAACGTTACCGTGTAGCCCTCACGTTACATATCTCAGTAGTAACGTTGAACAGATAAAATAAATACACGGACACACTTTTTCTGTCTCGTACATCAATTCTCAATTCCGATATTCTGATGGCGTTTGCCTACCGAATAAAACTCAATGCCGTTCTTGCGTTTAATGTGATTTGTATGTTTAATGTTGTATGAAGCAATAAGTCACTCAACAAACAACAACGTTAACGCGGCTCAGAGGATTTGAGACTTTCTGGTCCGCCTGGTAACCGATAGGCTAAGCTAACGTTAGCCAGCCCGGCTCCATGAACACCACTTTGAAACAACTCTTCTTTACCTCCTCGCGTTACATGCTGAGTGATGTTTAGTCCAGGAGCTGCGACAGTCCGCTGTGCGACCGCCTCAATACGTGTAGGACAACAGACCCGTATTCCTGGAAGCCCCCCAGCTTCATGCGCTGGCGTTTGTTACCGCTACACCGGGCTGTGGATCCCTTGTTTTGATTTGGGAAAGCGGAGTTCGCGTGAATCATATCGCGAGACTATCGCACATTCTAAGGGACAACCCTCCCCGCGTGCACACCATAAACAGGACATACAGAATAATCTATTTTAGTATAACTGTAGAGAACAGCCAGTCTACATTTCTGAATGTACAAATAATCAATTCAAACAACATTATTAAAAGCAATTTAAATCTTTTTTTTTGTATTTTCATTTTACACACGCCTAAAACATACATATAATAAAATAAAAATATACAAAACATTGTTGGTCCAACTCGTTATCGCCTTCAGTTTGATGAAGTAAGTCGCTTTACGAGTGGTTTACACCACCACCTGTTAAATAAAAGTGCATATACACAACGGGGAAGCTTGCCTTTAGCAGTTTCATAAATAACAATTTCATAAATAAAAAGCAAGTAAATAATATAGATAATGTAAAATAAATAAAATAAAAGTACATCCTAATAAAAGCCGGACCCATTCAGACAACTAGTTTCAAACAAAAATAACTGAAATGGACAAACAGAGAAAGTGGCCTAACATTCTGTGAGAGGGTGTTGGAAATGTTGCCGAACGTCGAAGATGAAATAAAATCAACCAAAATCAGGACTGCTTTGACTTGAGGAGATTTTCCAATAAGGTCAAAGCCAACTGGATCTCCTCTGGTGTCATGTCGCTCAGGTCAGGCAGCTCTTTGGGGCGCAGTCTCCTCCTCGTTCGGCCGACCTCTCCGATACTCCCCCATGTCGGCCCGGTGTGGGCGCCCTGGAGCTGTAGCCTCATCTGCAGCCACTGCCGACGCTCCTGCACCTGCTTGAGCTCCCCGAGGTCGTGCATGAGCTGGACCTCACTTACCGTCCTTTTCCTGTACACAGGAGCATGGCGTTTAATTAACATGTAGCAGTGAAGGTGATCTTAATTGATAAATAGAGGCGAAGGAGGGGAGGGTTACCTTAGGGGGCGCCCTCCACTGAGAGTGAAGAGGTGTACAATGCAGAGCGAAATGAACACGTTTTTATAGTCCAGATTGCGCATGTTGATCTGTTAAAGAAAATAATTTCATCAAAATCATTAAAAATCTTTCATGACTTAAACTATATTGCAAAGAAATACAAAATAACTGAATTTGAAATGTCCTTGTGTTAAAATAAGTGTGGAATAAATTAATCAATTACATGTTTTTTTAAAATGTAAGTTCGTTTATTTTTATTGTTGAAACTCCTATAGCTTGAACACTCAAATATCATGAAAATAATATTAAAATGAATAAAAGAATAAACTCGAGTTGAGGTGCATTCGGCCTACAACTCTGAAGCTGAACATACCTGGTGGTGGCTACCAGCCTAGGAAGTGAAGCCGTCTGGTTTGGGGGTTAGCTCCTATCAGTTCTAAGCACTGGACTCCCAACATGCTTTTATAGCCCCTGGGCCAGCCATTGATGAGCTGCCCTCCTTATTGCTGTTGATGTCACACCTCCAGCTGGGGGGTGGGGGTGGGGGGGGGGGCTTCAGGCTGTTGCTGTCATACCAGACCAAATTAAAGGCTTTGCATGTTGCTCACACCCACCGTATGCACAAACACACACGTACACCAAAGTTCCTAACTTTAAAAGCAAAGCATTTCCAAGTCGTATATCAAAGAGTTATTTTTATCTCCTCACTATGTTGTTTCATCATCACATTAGTTATCCCAATAAAAGTGATCACAGGATGACTAAACTGTTTTTTATTAAAAGGGGTTTTACATAACAAACCCTGTTTCCAAGACTGATACTTTTCTTTCTCAAGTATTTTTTATGCACACATTTTCAATTTTGCATGCCTCTGGGTTATTTTCCCTCTACTTATATAGAGTGGCCAGATCTATTAGTACACATCTGTTGTGACCTTTTTTGTCTGACTCCCAGCCTGTCGCACAACAATGACATGAATTTATGACTCTCATTGACCACTTGGGAGTCTCCCTGGTTACATAGGACCTTGACTCAAGAATTAACATTGTTTTAATGAGTTTGCCTCCCAAAAAAAGGCTTTTACACTGACCTGACGTCAGACAAAACATCCTGAATCAAAGAGTGAGTGGGAGTTCAGGAGGTGTGTCAGTGGGTGATGCCATTGTCGTCACTGGCTTGGTCATGAAAGGTGTGTGCATGCATGCGTGTCAACTTGGGAATCTCTGAAGAATTGTGACTCCCTTGCATCCACGGTGGTATCTAGATTAGTCTGAGTGTTAAAGGATTATTTTTGTGGCCAATACCATAAACATTTCAAAGTTTAAATAATGTGGTGACAATATGTTGTCCGATAGTCATTTTTCACATTAATATACAACAAAGCATTTCTGATAAAGAGTCCTTTAAATCGTATTTTTAGAGAGCAGTGACCACACTTTGTAATGTTTTCTGTACAGCAATTTATTTAATAGGCCAACACAGTAAAAATGATAGTTATATATCTGCAATAAGCCAATATTGGCCGATATCCATATTGTTTTATTGAGACATAAATAAAGCGTATCTAGCCGTCTAGTTGTTCATCTGCAGAGCTATGAGGGTAGGATGAGAGTTTGAGAGAAACATAGGTAGTAAGGAAAGCACATATTAAGTGAGGAAATCACTCACACGACACACACACAACATAGCCGGAGTCAAAGAGGAAAAGAAGGAAGCAAGGCAGTATATATATACAGCCTCTGGTTTAGGTGAGGGGATTGTACTTGAAGGGGCGTGTCCTTAGTGCCTCAGGTGTTATCATGTGACCTCTTGATGGGGACTTCTGACACTAGTTTTAAGTACCAAACATGTCACCCAGATCATTTTGGTTTCTATTATTTTCACCTTGGTTGGTCAAGATAATCCACAGACTTACTGTGGATTGAATTCAACATGACAGTAACGCAGCATGCTCAATACCACGAGCTCCAGTCACAGCAGTGGTGGAATGTAACTTGGTGGAAGTACATCACTAGCACTGTACTTTTGAGTACTTGTACTCTACTTGAGTATTTCCAAATGTTAAAACTTCATGAGCTCATCCTCCACCCTGCTTCAGGGTTTCTGCTACTATTCAACTTGTACTATATTCTCATATAGTTTCCACCAAAAACAAATCCTAATAGTTTTTACAGTTGAATTCTCTGCACCCTCCACCCTCCCACTCTGTCTGTCATCCAGGCATCAGGGTCAAGCTCCCCCCCCCCCCCCCCTCAGCTTTCACCCACAGGTGTCCCAAGAAAGATCAATCCATGGGACCACTCAGGTCACGTTAGAGAGAAACACCCTGCAACTTATTATGGTCATCCACCCATACACACACACACACACACACACACACACACACACACACACACACACACACACACAACACATTAGGTAACCACGGGTTTTCTAAATGTAGCAGGAGTTGGGAATGTCTATGTAATGTCACAAAGGATCTGTTCACACCAAGCCCGTTATTCTGTGGTCAGACTGATTTAAAGGTTAAAAAAAGAGCAAATAAGACTTTATACTGCATTGCAGCGATATCAATGTGATGTCAAGTAGAAGTGTCATTTTATCTTTGCAAACTGCAGAACTAAAACGCTGTAAAGCTCCATTGTGATCTGTGCCATAGTGCTCATTCCTGATTGGTCCAAACATATTAAACCCTCTTCCCACGAGGAAAAAGAAGCATGACGGCGCAGGAAGAGAGGTAGAGTATAACCTTGTGCCAAGCAGAAACTTTTGTTTCCACCTAGGCCAAGAAGATGTGATAGGACGTAGATTTGTTGAAATGTATCTGCATCTACCGATAGTATAGAGAAAGGAGATATTTTTTACAGCCCCTTTGGTTTTTCATGCAAAATCTTTTATTCAAGCAGTTTACAGCTGTGATTGAACTTGATGATACATAAAGAAATGGCTCATGTAGTCAGCGATTAAAGTTGTTTACATACCAGCTTTAAAAAGATTTACGGTGGTCGGTGGGGCCCTTCAGAGACATTGACCTCCACTGGCTTTCCCGTAATACTATGAAGGACTACGGCCTGTTTAGATGACACCCGCTGAACACATCGACCTCTGACCTTAGGTCCTAAACCTCGCAGCTCTCATTACCTCATGCTGCTTTAATGTGTAGCATGTTACCGATGGCATGAAAAGGCAGCAAGGTGTGCGGGAGTATAACAAGGCAAGAGACTTCAAAGCCAACAATTCCACAACAACAAATACCGGTGGCCCCATCATCCAACAGTCTAGTGATAGTAGATACAGGCCAAATCATTTGTACCGTATTCATCTTTATATTAACCTGACATTCACAGTTATTGCAAGTCAGGTGCATCAGTAAGGCAAGCTGGTCCCCAAGACTTAAGAATAGTTACAGAGGAGTCAATAAGGAGAGGGGGACTGCTATTTCAGGGTAGGCTTTGACTTTTCTAGAGGGTGACGACATGTCCTGAGAAGGGTGACAGAGAAGATAAATAACATTGCACAGATGCTGCTCGTCTCAAGTCACTTGAAAGATGATTTGGAGAAAACAAGAGCACGGATGTATTAATAAATGTGATTCAAGGACGTTGTCGTGGATGTCATAGAAACACTGATGAATGAAAGGATTTGGTTGGCTTTTTGAAAATATTATGCCAAAAAAGAAAATGATCTGTTTGTTTTGGAGAGGGTATGATAGGATTTAGATGAAATGACTAAAACAAGATCTCACAACAAAATCTAAATACTTACAGCTGCTGTTACTGACTGTTATTTGGCTACTTGGGAACAGCAGAACTTTGTAACGTTTTTATGCTAATCGTGTTAGCAGCAGATTGTCTATTAATACATATCATACACAGTTAGCAAGATTAGTATTCATTTAGAGTTGATCAATGTAAGTTCAATATGTGCGATAACTCTGTGTTCATCACTAGAAGTAACACCTTGTCATTTGATTTATTGTTGATTTGCAAACTAATGAATATTCAGCTTTATGGAGTGGGAGAACTATGTTGGTACTTTTGAGATTGGCTATTGTTGATGAGAAGAGGTGGGTCCAAAACTCACCAGTCTGTTAGTAATATACCATGCAATGTAAAACAATTTCAATTCTAACATGATCACAGCTCAGACAACAACCTATAGGAATGCTTACATTTGACAGCCCCACAGCTCAGTGTGATTGGCAGCATTTATGGTGAGGGGAGAAGGGTCCTCTTTAACCAGCTCGTGTGCATTAGGCAGTTCAATACTCCAGCATGACACGGTTTTCCCGGAACTGCAGACTGGCTTGTCCTCCCTCTGAAGGCATGGCATCGTCGTTTTACTGCCACCAGACACCACCACACCAGACCATTACTAATGCCTCAATTCCTTTCACTTCGCTGGGTTGCTTTGATCAGGCATCAGAGAAACAAATAATTCACATGGCAATTTCAACCAGTACATGGTAAATGGACTGTGCTTGTATAGTTCTTTTCTAGTCTTCCGACCACTCAAAGCACTAACACTACATGTCATCATTCACCCATTCACACCCATTCATACACTGATGGAGGGGCTACCATGCAAGTTGCCAGCTGCCCATCAGGACTAACATTCATACAACATTCATACACAGTAGGGAGCAAGTTGGGGTTAAGCGTCTTGCCCAAGGACACATTGATATGGTCTGGCGGAGCCGACGTGCCTGCTCTACCACTGAGCCACAATTCACACCACTCTGAAAAGAAAGTTATTACAAGCCATCAAATTCCCCTTCTGGGCTTCACACAGCCAGCTTTCAAGCAGTAAGTGCCATGAGCCCATAATGCATACACCATTTTTTTTTACATTTTTTACATTTTACAACATCCATGAGCATGTTTGTATGCTGAAATTTGTATTAAGTTAAAAGTAAAAATATGCCAAGGCCTTTACAAATGGGTTGTATCTTTGACGCGATTAATTTGGAATATATTTTTGTCAAACTGATGTTTTTGTCATGAGTACTTTCACAGAGAACGCAAATATTATGCATCCACAAGGTGATGTAAGTTTTCTTGAACAAGGTCAATTTTCTGAGCTG